AAATTTTTTTTTTTACCAAAATAAAAGGATCAAATTGAAATTTTAACCGATTCTGGTTAGAAAACCTGCAAAATCTACGTACGCGCCTTGTTTTCAAGTCTACAATATTGATTGTACTCTCGGGCCCAAAAAAAGCCACCAAAGTACCAAACGCCCCATCCAGCCCACGTTAGCCCTTTCTTTTCCTTTTTCTTTTTCTCACTTTTTTTTTTCAAAAAATTTTGTTTTAACCCTAAACGGTTTTTGGTCCCTAATGGCTTGAAAAGGGGTTGGTTACAGTTGTAACGGCGGTTAAATTCTCCCAAAAAATTCTATAAAATCCCCCTCTTCCCCTCTCCAGTTTCCTTCACCCAGCCCCCCACATTCTCACCCTTTTTAAAGATTCAAGTCTTCAAGTAAATCTTCTTTTCTCACATTTTTCCTCTAAAGAACGAAGTTTAGTTTTAAAGAAAAACCAAAATGCTCAACATTTTCATTACTTGTTTGTGCAGGAAAATGGCTCTCCCTAGAGTTTTCTTGGTGGGTTTCCTTGCAATGGTCTCTGCAGTTCAAGTGTACGGCGATGGTGGGTGGATTGATGCACACGCCACCTTCTACGGCGGAAGTGATGCTTCCGGCACAATGGGTATGCAAAAAGGAACCAGATTAACAAATCCCTTTCTTTTGTCCAAAATCAATATCCAACTGACTAATTGGTTGTTCGGATTTGGTTTTCAGGTGGGGCTTGTGGGTATGGAAACCTGTACAGCCAAGGGTACGGCACCAACACCGCAGCTCTCAGCACTTCTCTGTTCAACAATGGGCTCAGCTGCGGGTCTTGCTATGAGATTAAGTGTGTCAGTGACCGTCAATGGTGCCTGCCGGGCTCAATTGTGGTCACAGCTACCAACTTCTGCCCGCCAAACAGCGCCCTCCCCAACAATGCCGGCGGCTGGTGCAACCCTCCCCTGCACCACTTTGATCTCTCTCAGCCTGTTTTCCAACACATTGCCCAATATAGGGCTGGAATTGTCCCTGTGGCGTACAGAAGGTAAACAAGGCTCTATGCTAATTTTTTTTCCCTTTTTGGGCTTCCAGGGTTGAAAAAGATATTTTATTTTAAAAAAATAGTTTACCATTATAATTGTTTTGAATTATAAACATTAATTTTTTT